TTTAGCATTATTATATAATTTTTTGAAGTACTCTTTGTGTAAAAGATAAAAACTTTTCCCATCTTTATTACCCTTTGTTATATATATATATATATATATATATATATATTAAAGAAAGAAAAAAAAAACAAACAAAGAAAGACGAGAAAAAATATATATGTGTAAGTTGTATCGCCACAAGCTCGTACATACCTCCATGTCATACACAATTTTACTTAATAATCATTTACAAATTTTTCTTTCTGTAACGCTCGGGGCTAAAATTAAAAATAATTTCTTTATACATATGTCATTCGAATTCATATTTAAAATCGATTGCCACCTGATATGATTATCAATAATGATTTTTTTTATTTTGTTAGTAAAATTTCAATGTTAACTTATGCCTAAACGTGAATGTTATTTTTGAGATTAATTTTTCCTTAGTTGCCTATTAAGGAATATGCCGACATCAATAATAGTCAGGGTGCTTTTCACTTTTTCTGAGACAAAAACACCATATTTAAAAGTTTTCAGCGCATTATCTATTCTAGGACATCTTCCACTCGAAATTCCGTCTGATAGATCAAGCGCGCAACATAAGGCGAGAAACGAAGATTTGCCGTTTCTTTAATTGAAATATCTACTGAATCGGATCACACTTTAGGGCTGCGAATTTCAGTTTTGTTTAACAATTGGCATCAATGACACATTGACAACGACAATGACAGCGCTACTTGGTCGGATAATATCGCTCTTATTCTTGGCAAATTATTCAAAAGTATAGTCAATAGTATATGGAAGACCAGATAGATTTTTTACACTTTTTTTCTTTACAACATTTTTATTTAACCGATTCAGCCAGCAAGAGACATGGGATCCAATAGAGGTAAGAACAATATCGATTTACAATATGATTACAGATAAAGTTGCAATATAGAAACGAAAATGAAGACTTGCCATTCTATTGTTAGGCATTACCGAGAACTCAATTTTTGTATAAATATCTTTTCCAGCACAAATGCTCTTGCGTAATATTTCTTTCTAATAAACCGAGCATGTCTTATTATTCTATATGGTTAAACAAAATTCTCGAAGCCCTTAGCAAATCGTCGTAAGTATGATTTACGTTATACTCGTTTATAATGATCTTTGTATTTCCTATTGAGCTGTTGAAATTATAAAAACTGAATAATTGTATTAATTTCATAATATCTTAGATAAAAGTAGAATAGCCTTATGTTTCTAAAACTTGTGACTGTGAATGCCTATATATATATATATATATATATATGTGTGTGTGTGTGTGTGTGTGTGTGTTAAAAATCATTAGTTTTATTAATCACAATGTTGATGGCTGAAGCCGTGCTCACTATATTTATCCATAAAGAGCCCAAACTTTTGCAACTCCAATGATACAGGACGTAAGACTTAAGATAATCGAAGCATTATTAAAAATAAAAAATAAAAAGTAGGACTCTGTAGCTGTGCCCATTTTTAAAAAGTTTTATAAAATTAAACAATCTTCTGTTGATCAAAGCATGCTATTTATAACGCATAAAGCATAACGTTCGCCTGTACTCCCTTGCACTTCGATAGTTACAGATATTTTCCGAAACAAAAAAAAATACTGGATCCTCAAATAAATATCTCAAACATCATTTGATCAATCAAATTGAATAATTTAAATATTTACAATTGAGTGAATTGGGAGTAAAACTCTATTAAAATTCTCTCTCTCTCTCTTTTTTTTTTATCTGTGATATATCTACCGGTTTTTAGTAAAATTATCCTTAGTTTTATATCCTTCATAAAGATGTCCGAATGAAATTAATGAATCGCTATAGATTCACATAGTATTATTATTTTTTAATTACCCGAATTGCTACCAATTTTTAGACAATTTAAGTCTAAATAAATCATTTCAAGTAGATTTCGGTATATATGCTAATTTATTTATATATATATTTATAAGCACTTGTTCCAGAATATCCTTGAAACAACCGATATTTTTACATTTATTAGGCTTCCATAATCTTGATGAGAGCTTTACAATATTCCTATAAAGTTTACCAATCCCTGTAATGATCCGCGAAACAATCGATCCAAGAGCTTGAAATAATCTTCAATATTTTCAATTAATTCATAATTTCCAGTATTTTCGCATTACTCACTGATCAACATATACCATAAAGTAAGCATGAACAACTGAATCTATCGATACGCTCTACAACTAACATGTCAATCATTAAAAATTAAATCATTCTTTTTCATGTCAATGAATATAAGTCAAAGTTCTTTATTGACTAATGCCTTTAGGAAAACGATTACTCGACTCAATCAGGTTATCATTCCAGTCGCAAATAGTGGTGCTCCAGATAAGCACTTACAATAAATAATCGCTCGTCGAGCAAAGTTAATTATCCAGTATCAGTTCCGTTGAGATGTAAAGATATTTTTTTATAATCGGTGCTGGAGTTACTCAAAATGTTGAAGAATATAAATGATTTTTTAACAACATGAAGCTAAATTGATATATATATATATATATATATATATATAATAGAGCGCTTTCCAATGATTAATACTTATTAAAACATTATCAAGGTACAATACAACACAATTAAATCCCCTGTCGATGCCAAGTCAAGAAACAGTTAACAGTATTCATTAATCGAATATCATAACTCTGATACCAATGTCGACTATCATCATCTTTGTCAAATACATTTAATTATGATTTTTCCATTTTAATCATTAAATTTCTTAATCGAAAACACACGAATGTAAGAAACTTCGTTAACTTCGTTATAATGTTGAAAACTTAGGTTTTGACAGATCATTCGTCTAAATAGAATTCGTATTCTCTATGATATAATTTTGCTTTAATTTTTCATGATTGATTAAACGTAAGCGACATAAGATTTTTTAAAAATCATTTAATAAATAAAATAAACTAAAAGAATTATTGTTCTTATAATTACATATCACATTAAAAGTCGTGATATATTTTTTTAAAGCAATCAATGTCTTACAAGACTAAAACAAATATACAATATGATATTTTTCAAAACACATTCACATTATTGTTTGTGTAGCTATGGAAGTATATGAGAGCATGTGTACACATAGAGAATTATGTATACATATATGTACACGATCAATTGCAATATCAAGACTCGAGATCGAGCAGTTTTTCACATAATTTAAATCATTAACAAATTGCCAATGACTATTCAAACGCATTTTCTCACAACATTTTGTTTTTGGACACACTGATTACTTTGGAAAACAATTATTTCGCACAACTATATCAACGCAATAAATTATTTCTTAAGACAGTAATAGATTATCATTGCTTTATAAATAAAACTATTCTCTAATGTACATCGAATAAATAAATACATTAAACGATGCCATAATTCCATGAACAATAGAGCCGAAATTGTCAGATAATTTTAACGACCGATCCTATGAATTAATTTAATAAAATTAGTAAATATATATATATTTCTTTCTTAATTTATCATAGATTTAAATCCATCGTCAAGTGTTTATTATTTTTCAAATACTTTGAATTACTGCAGCTTACGTGACAAAACATTCTTAATTGAAAATAAATGCACGGCTGTGTAGAGTAAGAACGATGCGCATTATTATGAATTAATCATAAGCAGTAAATAGTTATCGTTGCTACTTAAAGAAATACAGAAAGTATTAAACAAACGGATGATATAATAATTTAAAAATAGGCAGAATAATAGAACTATCAATTAATTAATTAAGAAAAATAATGAACCATTAGGGGTATAAAATATTCAGATATTCAGATAAGAGATAGTTATGAACGTAATGTTCTCATTAAAAAACAAAAAACAAAAGTACCATCCAATCATTTTAATAATAACATTGATTAATTAATGTGAAATACGATAAATAAATCTAGTGCGAATAAACATGATAATTACATTTTTGTGTTAATAAAATTATATTATGTCATATATACATATATCGTAAATGGATGCTCCTTATAAATTATAATGTAAAAATTTGATTATTTTTCAATGAATTTTGACATTATTTTCAATTACATAATTGAACATTAATTTTCACATAAAACGAGCTTATATATTATATATACATATATAAGTATATATATACAAAACCATGAGAAGACAAAAATTAAAAAAAAAAAAAAAAAAAAAGAAAAAAAAATTAATGTATACATTAAAAAATATCTAATCTGATTTTGTTCATCGCTTGCAATGTGTCGAGAAGCAAGAATGGCTTAAGGGAAAGACTTAATTAATGATATTGTTATGTTTAAATTATCGTTCGTTATGCATCCATTTAACGATATGACAGAGATTTGCTTTAGGGTCGCTATTATCGCCGTTAAATCGATTCCGACAATAATATATCCATTAAGTGCCATGTTTTGTGCTTGGTTGTAAATAATAGCATAAAGTGCGAGATGTGGCTTAGCATTGTTTTACAAAATCATTTGCGGATCGTTTTCACATCGTCGGACAAATATTTAAAACAAAACAAACGAACGAACAAACAAACAAACAAACAAACAAACAAACAAACAAACAAACAAACCAACAAACGGAAAAAAAAAAGATAACGAATAACTGCGCTACAAAAGTGCGTAGACTCGTAGATTGTCCAATTGAAAAGATTGTATAGCATAGAAAATTAAAGTAAGTTCAATTTTTATTTAAATTGCCTGTCTGTATTATTACCTTAGCTAATGTTCAATGTTCTCTTAAATGCTTTAGCGCTAAGATTAAAGAAGAAGCGTCGTTACGCTGTTAACGGATCGATACTTCGTACAACATTAACGATTGTGCTTTACACAGGGTGAGCGCGCAAAATAAAACTAAAAATCGTCTGTCTTCCAGAAGTAATCGTCGTGTGTCAAAATATTCCTCGTCCTCATCTCGTTACGCTCATTTGTAGAAAATGCCTTGGTTTCTTTGTCGCGCGCTCTTGCAATAATACATTCGCCGAGAGCGAGAACGGAAGAGGTAAAGTAAGGGAGAAGAGAGTCGGTCGTCGACTTTCCTCGCGCGCAATAATAATCCGGCAATTCTCTCGGTAATGTCCTTAAAAAGTCAGGCATTGAAGGTGACTGCGCTGAGCCAAGTGCGTCATCGTCACGCTCCTTCTTCCCTGCTCGGTGCGTCGGCCATCGCCCTCTCATATGTTACCACCGCTCGGGTAAAAGGGGAAGGCTCCGAAGTGAAAGTTGACGGGCGTCTTGGGCGAAGCGCAGGTGTAGAGAAAGTCGTCGCTCTGCAGCTGCGTCCTGTTGAGGTTAGGCTCGCTCGTCGACCTCGTGATCTTGGGTAGGCCCCTGAGCAGACTCTCGAGGTTCACGAGGATTTGCCTGAATATCGGCCTCTCCTCCCGCGAGAACTTGATGCAGTCCTCCGTGAGCCGTCTGAGGGCTTTCGGGCAGTCGGACCTGAGCTTGTTGAGGTCCGGATGGAGGTAGCCCCGGCCGACCATGAACAATATCTGATCCTTGTTGTTGACGTGGGAGTAAGGCAACTGCCCGGCCAGCAATTCGAAGAGCACAACGCCGAACGCGTAGACGTCGGACTGGAAGCTGTAGGGGTTCTCCTCCTGCATCCTAATGACCTCGGGAGCCATCCAGAGTATCGAGCCCGTCGGCTGGTGAAACTGGAGCGAGCCGGACCAGCGCGTCTTGGCGGTCGCGAGACCAAAGTCCCCGATCTTAACGGTGAGGTCGTCGTGCAGGAATATATTGTTGCTCTTGAGGTCCCTGTGGATGATGTTCTTGGCGTGCAGGTAATCCATGCCCTGGGCGGTCTGTCTGCCGATCTCGATGAGCGTCAGCAGCTGGAACTTGGACTCGAAGACGTGCAAGTGCTTGTAAAGCGAGGAGCCCTCGCACCATTGGGTTACGATCGCCAGCTGGGGTTTGCTCACGCAGCCCATGAAGAGGAGGATGTTGACGTGGCGCGTTTTGCGCAGCACCGCCACCTCGTTCTTAAAGGCCTGGAGCTGGGCCGCGGTCGGTATCTTGACGTTGAGGGTCTTAACGGCGACGGGGCCGTGCCAGTGTGCCTTGTAGACGGTGCCGAAGGAGCCCGAGCCGATACGCGCCCCCACGAGGATCTCGTCCGCGGGGATCTCCCAGTCCTCGATGGATTCGCGCGGCGCAAGCAGGTTCTTCGAGCTCTCGTCCGCGGATCGCGCCCGGGGCCTCTTGGGCCTTAGGGTGCTGGTCGGACTGGCCTGCGTCGACTGGCTGTGCTTGGTCGGGCTGCAAGCCGGCGAGACCGTGGACTGGGCGGGGCCGACGACGCGACCGAGGCCCTGAACGCGGCTGTACTCCTCGAGATTGACGGGCTCGCAGCCCGGCCCTGGCTTTACCGTGTTGAAGCAGACATTTGGCGCGGAACTCGAGCGGTCCTGCTGGCCAAGACCGCGTGACTGTCGAGGCGCCCGCGAGGACTGCATGCCCCGACCGAGCCCGTAGCCCGAGGGCAGCTGAAGGATGCCGGCGCTGGTCTCGGGATTATGGGCCAGCAGAGCCTGGTAGTAGGCATCCTGCATGCGAACTTGGTGACAGAGGGCCGGCACCCCATTGGCGCACCGCTGATGGAAGCGGTAATTGCAGGTGCGGCAATAGAAGCCCTGGAAGAGTAGTTTGTGGCAGCACTCGCAGAACGCCAGGGAGAAGAAGGTCTTACGGACGAAGTTGTGGGATATCGAGGTGGCGATCGGGAACTTGTCCAATATTTCTACCGATATCTCGTCGCACTCGAGGGAGGAGATGTCCGCGTCCCAGGGGATGGGGTACTTGGCGTCGTCCATCGCTATGATGTCCACGACGCACATCTCGGTCGTGAGATTGCGCAGCTTCATGGCCTTGGCGAGGGCGTCCCTGAGGGAGAGGCCCTCGCGCACCTGGACGCTGGTGCGCTGCTGATTGGGCAGGTGGGCGCGCAGCAGGGATTTGTGGGGCGTGCGTGGACTGCCGCGTTGAAATTTGGGTCCCGGGCCCGGGTGCATGGCCGAGGCGCCGGGTCCCGACTCGGTCATGCTGCTCAAGAGTTCGTTTAGCTTCTGCTCCTTGGACTCGAGCTCGTGGAGCTTCGAGGTCAGCTCATGATACTCGCTTAAATAGATCGAGGGCGGGTCCTGGAAGCCTGCGAACCGATTATTCAGGGCGTCGATGTTCTGGCGCGTTACGTGGATTACGCTCTGGATGTTGCGCAGCTCGTATCTGTCGAGCATACAAGAGGATTTTGTTAAATGTTCTTGCCTGCAATTTCGGTTTTGAATTGAGTGACAGGGAGCTGACAAGCGATCAAGACAACTCGATCAATTACATTCAATTTTACCATATTAATTGTCAATAGAGAAAATATTGGGCGTTATTAATTTGAAACATTCGTTTTCGTTTATATTTCGGATTTCAATCGAAGTTTCGATTTCACGTACCTGCTGCACAATGTATGTATCACCGTTCTTTATGTCTGTTCTTTATGTAAATTAGAAAAAAATATTGAAAAACGATAAACCAAACAGCAAAGATGAGCTCGATGCTAATCTACATTGATCGATTGATCTTATACTACACGATTAAAATTACAGTGCGATTCAATGTTTTCAATGAAAATAATTTCTTTACGTATTATTCTTTACTATATATATATTTTTTTTTTTAACGTTTTTATTAGACACTAACCAAATGTTGTTAAAAATTTGTTTATTGTTATATCGATTGATAATTTGGTACAAAGAAATGTTATTCCAATGTATTGCTATTACAGAGAATATGTTAAAAATATATTGAACACCCTTGTTTATTTAGCTTCTAAAATCCGTTCTACTAAATGGCTTATTTTTCATATTCGATTCAATAAATAAGGAAAATTCGAATAATCAACAAAATTTAAATATCCCACTCATTGGATGGCTTAATTTTTATTTGTTTTTATTTGATTCGATTTACATCTTTATATTATATTGTAAGCTACATATTATTGTCGCTTGAACATACTCGACAATGATCCACGAATTAAAAGAAAAAATTTATACTTTAATTTCATCTATAGGATCGAATGGGACAAAATTAATTATTACTTATTATATTACTAGTAGGTTGATTTCTTAAAAATTAACTTGTTGTGTCTTTGGTGAAAACTGAAAATCCTAGATTCATTAATTAGTACTTTTAGTTTTAATGATAAATCATATTTTTATAATTTAACCATCGTGAACTTTGTGAACTTTGAATTATCAGCAGCAACCCATACAGTGCAAAATATTCTTTCTTTTTTGAAAAAATAAATTTTTCTTTTTGTTCATTATCTTTAACGAGCCATTCACAAATTTCATAAGTATTGTGGTGTCGAATACGATAGTTTTACCTGAGTGGATCTGTATCAAGATAGACATCTTCCGAATCGCTGAATTCACCCTGATCTATCCCTCGGGAACACATTGTGCTCTCAAGGGTAATACGGACCCTTCTCCTTCTGTGGTGACAACCAATTTGTGAGCCTGTCTTTTCTTTCTTACGATGACTGGAACGTTCCGTAGTTTCTTTTGTTGGAATATGTGGATGAAACCTGGTTTAAGTATAGAAAAGTTTACAAATTAAAATCCATATTTTGAATAGTTACTATTAAGACTGCTTTTGACCTTCGGTATAAGAGAGCACAAAGCGCATTGACCAATTTCTAGAAATATAATTAAGTAATAATAAACAAAATAATGACTAAACAGTTTCAAATATTTGTATACAAACTTTATACTGAGAATATTGTGTTCAAATTGTAATTATACAAATGGAATTTAATAATAATTGTACTCAATTTTCAAAGTAGATACCAATTGTTAAAAATTATATAATTATTGCTTGGATATTCACAAGAAAATATTAATTATATTTGTAAAACCATTTGTTGAATTTTTAGGTTAAAGATACAGACAAATTACTAACAATGACATCACTAATAAAAATCTTACAATCTGCTTTTAACATTATTTATATAAATTTTATTTTATGTTTTAGTTTGTATAAGTAATTCAATTTTTTATCATTACAATACTTAACCTTGGGCAACATTAATAAACACTAACTGTACAAAAACTATAATGCGGATAGTATCAGCAAGACCTTAGAAACTGTTCCAAGTAATTCGAAGTTGTCTACATCCGTGGCATTAAGAGGTACTTGTTGCATATAAAAATTTTATATTATTAATTTTATAAGCTTCGATATCTTTCACGAGCAAAAACTTGATAATTAAAACGTTATATTGCTCATGCTTTTGTTTGCTTAAATGTTATTGTTAATTTCAGTCAAATTTCTTTCCCACTCCCATTGATTTACTGTATTTGAATTAATGGCAAAAAATTAAAATTATTAAGCAACGTTATCACTTTGAATGCTGTATATTTTTTCATCAGTGAACAGTCAATGCTTAAAGTTTAAAACTATCGAAAGCCTTGAAATTGCCAGTACACTGTGCAAATGCCAAATAATAAGTATTGACTCGCAAGGTCTTTCGCCTTGTCCGAACATATGCAGCCATTTAAAGAGTTCGCTCGTATCTAACAAACTTACTTTCAGTAATTTATAGTTACATAAATTATTATAAAAAAATCCCTATGGAAATTTGAACGATAGTTACATTAATAATTTTAATGATGCAAGATACTTTTATAATAAAATAACCGCATCCGTAAGCAATGATTTAATATCCCTTGAGTTAATTGTTTATTGAATTTGTGAATTGTAATAAATACAGTTGAGTACATAAAGAAATATAATTGATTAATAATGAGATTAATTATGATACTCTACACACTTTTGGTAAGTATTACAATGACACAAATTGGTCATGTACAGTAAATATTATTATTAAATGTCAAAAGGTGTAACTTTAATTAAGTGTACTTCTCACGTTCTTGTTTAATCGATGCTCCTTCTCTCTTTAAACAAAGTTCAAATAATTGACTGTATTACGGAACTTATAACAATACTCTATAGATGTTAGCTTAATAAAACTTTTCATTTAATAAGTTTAATATTCTTCGAGAGAATAGAACGACTTTATAGTTTAATCTTATCGAGAAGAAATGTCGGAATAATTTAATAAATGCAAAGTTATACTCGGTTTTTCAGCCCTACCATTATGATACATATAAAAGCACCGGCTTGAGCCAAGCCTCAACGCCACTACCAACAAGCCATTAATTCTATCGGTCAAGCTCCGGAAATTACATAGGTCTAATCTGGCAATGATTCACAATAAGATAAAAAAGCACAGGACACGGGTGCACGTTAAACATAATGGTAAACTTAGGAGCAAAGCTGACGTTTGATCTAGGGTGGAGAGAGAGAGAGAGAGGGAGGGAGAGAGAGAGAGAGAGAGAGAGAGAGAGAGAAAGAGAGCAGTGCCAAGGCCAACGTTCGCCACTGGGGGACTACTAGTCACCTGGATTCGCCAATCACGGCCATTGTCTCACGTCTACCGAGAGCTGCATTCTGGTGTAGATCTTGGCTCGCGACGGCGTTCTCCCCAGCACCGACCAAGCCCGAGTCTGCTCAGCTCCTCGACTCCGGAGCGGCAGCCTTCCACCTCGCCGCCGCGAACAGTAGGACCGTCTCCCGGTGACAATGCTCGAATCCAGAGGACGGGGTCGGCACCGCTGTCGTCGTGACCCTGCGCGGCATGCCGCAGCGCTGGCGACGACCTCGGCGAAGGCTGAACGGCGACAATGGCTCCGGGGCGACCGGCTTCCGCTCGACCTCGACTGGGCTGTCTCAGCTCCTCGACTTCTTAACCTCCGCTCGGACACTCGGGAACGCCGCTGGCCAAACAAAATTCTTGTCCACCTCCGCTCGCGTGCCTTCCTCGAGCTTCCTCGATACTTTCTTAACTACGTTACACACGCAAGCGCACACACACGCACGCACGAACGCGCGCGCGAGAGCTAGTAATCGCACTCTCTTCCCTTCGCTCTCACTCTGTCTCGCTCTCTCTCTCTCTCTCTCTCTCACTCTCTCACTCTCTCACTCTCTCACTCTGTCTCTCTATCTATCTATCTATCTATCTATCTATCTGTCTCTCACTCACTCGACTCTCCGTCTGACACGCTCGAGGTTGAGTGTACAATGTACGTAAGTACGTCGGTCGGTGGTGTGCGCTGCGTGCGCTCGTGCTTATTATATGTATTTATTATACGCATATAAGTATTTACGGCGGAGGAGACACGCGCTTGACAAAGTAGCGGGCGAGGAACAACGTGAGGAGGAGGCTTGAGCAGCGGGGAGGTGCAAACGGGAGAACGCGTGCTGGGTCGCGGATACGTGCGTGCGCGTGTGGGCGCGTGCGTCGTCGAAATTACGTACGCACATAAGTTGGGCTTGGGCGGGATGCGGAGGGAGGGCGACTCCGTGGTTATTGGGGAAGAGTACGAGGGGAAACGGACGCGGGGCAAAAGAATAAACAAGAAATAAAAGAGAAAGACCGCCGGGCGAACAGCGAACGGCGAACGGCGAACGGCGAACGGCGAACGGCTAACGGCGAACGGCTAACGGCGAACGCGACAGGAGGTCGGCAGGAGATGAGGGGATGCCAGCGTGGTCTGCGAATCCCCGAACGACGTTCCCGTATTAACTGGTGCGGCTAAGAACCGGGACGACTCTGAGTTTCGTTTCGGTCTCAGCGCTGGAGGTGAAACGGTGATTGTCGAGGCCTTCGTCTCGTCGACTAAGAGACCTCGGCACCGACTCTCGACCACTAGCCGACGGCGCCCCTGACTCGCGAATCTTTGGAATCGCCGCCACTGTCACAGAGCTACGCTACCGCGCACACGCGCCGCCGTCACTACCGCCCCCGCCGTCGACGTAGTCATACTCGTAACCGTAGCCGTGGTAGTGGTCGTAGTCATGGTCGTGGTCATCGTCGTCGTCGTCGTCGGCGTCGTATAGGCGTACGCGCGTAAAAGGGAAAACTTTGAAGAGCAAGGTCGCGGTCGGATTTGCGCGGAATCGTTTCGCGGAGCGGAGCGGAGAGAGGCACGCCTCACCTTTGAGGTTAGGAGCTGAAACGGCAGTCGCACCGTTTGCCCCGACTTTTCATGGCATTTAAAAAAGCTTTAAAAAACATTGTTCTACAAAAATGAGAAAGTCGTCCCTTAATCGTTGTCCTCTTAAAGTTGCGTCTTAACGTTTTCAAAAATATATTCCGCTATAGTAATTCATTATTCGTACTTTCGTCGAACAGAATCCCCCGGGCTACCGGCACCTCCTGACATTTACGGTCAATTTTCTCTCGACTCTTGTACCCATCTAGTCCTATCATCCTGCGTCCTTATCGTAAGAATTTTCCCACGATGCGAAAACGCACGCCCAGAGATACGGCGACGTCATAAGTATAGCGTGGCACGTGAAAGGAGATACGGTGTTCCCGGCCGGCGGGGCGACGCGCGCGCGTACTTCCATTGCACTTCCTCGTCGCCGTCGGCGGCCGCTGACGTAAGTGACGACGGGCGCGTGCCGGGCCACCCATTGACGTCACGAGGCTACGTCGGCGTCAAAGTCGGTGGTGTGCGCGGGAGTGACGAAAGCCAGATGACGATTGCCCGCGTCGCGATCCTCGTTGTCCTGGTAACGCCCGATGTCTTATTGTAATTGTTAGCTCGTCGGCGAGGAGGCGCCGCACGATATCTCCATCTCGTGCTCGTAGCGTAGGGCTGCCAAGGCCAAGTCTACTCGACTACCCCTTCAGCCACTTTCTCTTTCTCGTGTTACCGGGCTCCTCGCTGTTTTCCTCATAACCGATCGGAAATCACTTTTTAGATGATTCAGGGAAAGGAATTTAGGGCTTTGGAGAATCCAGAAAATTTGTCATAATTATTATAGAAATTTGGATTAGATAAAAACAAACAAACAAACAAACACAGCTATCGGCTAATGGTCTGTCTAATTGATATTAGATAATAAATGTTTTGTAATTGAGAAAAAAAATAAATAAAAACTTGCGACGTATCTCTTAAGAGATAAATTTTCTTTTTGTTTTATTAGGACCGATAAATCAAATATTTTTACACTTTCAAGTTAATAAGCCAAGCAGACATTTATAATTATCAATTTTCAGATGCAAATGCAAACGAACTCTCGTCCGTCTTGTTTCAAGTACTCGGCAATACCATAAAGATTATACGATTGTATGCCTAAACATTTGACAGCTTAAATATTTATTAGGCATCGTTACTTGTAATTTCAGTTTCGTTGAGCTTTCCAGTTGGCAAGGCTTGGAGCCACTTACTTTAAGCTGTTACGTATATATAAAATTAAATATTAAAGTCGTTTGCGCTTATTACATTGATAAAATATTTAATTTGGATGAACTTGTGTCATCTTTTTAGCTTTGAAACAATTAAAAATAGCAATTAATGAACTCTTTTTCTGGACAATTTTGAAAAGAGACTATTTTTAAAATAAAACAATTTTGTTTAACGTATTTTGCTTTCTGTTTATTTTATGAATATCGCTTTTATAAAAATCTCCATTTTCAATTGTCTCCAATGTGCCTTTTTTTTTTTTTTGTTTTTTTTTGTTTGGTATTTATTAAAGTAAAAATCAAGCGCAAAACAATAATCGACAAATCAATATAAAAAGTATTTTAGGTATCGTTGGAAGGTGAAATTGACGCCAAAAAAGGAAGAGGAGGTGGGAAGACCTCGACAAATAATTTTTTATTCGAGGTGCCACGCAAATACACGTACGTGCGCGCACGTAGACGTATTCTTTAAGTGGATTAGGCGAAACGGGGAATATTACGTCATACGACGTCTATAATTATTACAGAATAAATAACGTATATGCATTTTCTTTCCCTCTCATCTATTTGCTCCTTATCACATACTTTCGATTAAAAGTCGCCATCGCAGTGGTAGGCGAGTAGCTGGTAATGATCGATGGCACTTCGTAATCGGCAAAAGTACTTAAGTACTTTGCACGTTTTCTTTTTCTTTTCAATTGAGCTGCTCTTTTCTACTTACCGCCCCTGATAAACGAAAGTAATTGTTTTATCCTTTAATACACCGGATACCCTTTAATAATCCGAAACTATAATATTCAAGATTCCGTCAGTGTTGTTATATTGCGAAAATATTCGTTATTAAGATATCAATGAATAAAGTCAAAATTTGCTTAGTTTTTCAAAGACAGAAATATATTATAATTAACGCAATTCTAAAAATAGAACAAAATATTTCATCGAATTGAAGATAAACGGCGCATAGAACAATAATAGAAGGGAAAATTACTAATAACTACTATCTAATGGAGTACGAACTATAATGCGTCGGAAAATAATTTAGTTGATTATGAAAAGTATAAATAACTAAAGAGTAAAATAAATTTTAAAACATTTGTTGGATTTTAGATCGAAGTCCAATGTAGCTGTACGTCTTTCTCTGTTGTGTTTTCTTTAAAGTATTTTACTCGGTTTGAAGGTAAACAATTTTCGAGAAAATTCAATTTCCCGCCAAAGTATTGTCCTCATCCGAAGATAAACAATTTCAAATTGAATAACAATAACAAATCATTTGAAAAATGTTTAGAATTTAAATTAAAAATATCCGAATTATATTATTTTTGTAAAAGAAAAGTTATAGTTCTTAATTATAAACAATTTGAATAAAAATAGCATTACAGTTTTGCTAAAATTTCGAACAATAGACTAATTATAAGAAAAACTTTTTCTCTAATAATACATTTCTAATATCAAAGTGCTAAAAATACTACCATATGAACGATCATTGCAATTATCATTGAGTTTATAAAAAACAATTGGACATCGGGTAAAGATTTTAAACGTAATTTATCGTTTAAAAAAATTTGTTTGAAAGAACAAAGCGAAATTCTGACTAATAATTTTTCTCGTCAAACAGCAGTCAATAACAAAAGATATTCAAATAAAATATATTAATTATCATATTATGTAAAAAAAAAAAAAAAAAAATTTAATAAACAATACTAATAATAATAATAATAATAATAATAATAATAATAATACTAATAATAATAATAATAAATTAAAAAACAATTTTTTACTTTAAGAACAGAATTAACGATATAATAATTTGAATTATATACCATAAGAAACTTAAATTAAACATTTCAAGGAGGAAACTGTAAAAGAAAATTTAACAATTTGAGATTTTAATTAAAATGAATAATCCAACTTCGTTTTAATGTAAACTGAACATGTAAATTTTCCATTTAAATTTTTTATGGTCATTTGTATAGAATAACAATAACCTTGTAATTTATTATAGCTAATGATTACAAAATCTTTGTAAATGTGTAGTTTTACCTTTGATCTGTCGCATGATAATTGAATAACAGTTGGTTATTCCTTACGAAATAATCAATGTAAAATTATTATTAGTTTTAAATTTGGATAAATAAATATGTAAGAATGAAAATGTTTGAAATGCGATAAATTGCGGTAATACATAAATTAACATGCCATCGTTATAAAAAACAATTCAAGAAGATTAGAATAAATAAAATTGATGCCGAACAGACGTTAATATGCACACATTTTTCATAAATTGTTTAGATTTTAATTAACAAATTAGAGGTTTCAAAAATCTTATGATAAATTTTATAAATCATGACTCGCATCGAATTTTTTGCACCAAATAACATTTCATATCTTAATTAAGCCATTTACAATAATTGCAACTAGAAAATAATGATAAGGCAATAAAAGCATTTCCATGAATATAAATTTATACGTAGCTTAAATGAGCAAACGTGTACTTTGTTTCGATTATCAATTTATTATAGCTTATATAATTATAAGTAATTGCTTTAATAATTATAATTGAATGGTTCAAATTATTTAAAAAATCTCATAATATATTTAACAGATCATTTGATTTACTTCTAATTGCTGTTTATAGGCATGGCATGTAGCATAATTTTTTAAATAAAAATAATTAGAAACTTTGCCTCTAACAGTTAATTATGAATTTCATGAGAAAATTTAAATACGATTGGGAAATATTGCAATTGTCCACGCCACATTATATTTGCAAAAGCTTAATTTAACATAAATTAAAATAAATTTGTTAGATGCTAGCGCTATAATAGAATTATTATGGATTAGTAATCATGGACTATTATATCATAAGATATAAGAAAGGTCATATTTAAAGGTATAATCGAGCGATTAAAAATTATTGTCAACGATTTGAATTAGAGTTGGGAAAATAGGCAAATAAATTGGTGCTTTACGTATTATAAGAAAGGAGATGATAATCAAGTGTAATAGCCTTTGAATATCAACAGTTTGAACTCAATAGCTCAATTATATTAAAAACAAAATCCAAGTAGTTGGTATTTTATATCTTGGTTTTCGAATCAATATTAAAGCTTAAAATAAGTGTAAAAAGCGCTTCCACATATATGAAAAACAAATAGTGGGTATTTAATAATCTGTTAACATCAATCTTACCAACCACTGAGCTTATCAAGCATTGTTAATTTATTGATTTATGCAATAATTTGATGAATAACTCCTAGGATAAAAAATGATCCGTGGCATTATAAGATAAGCTAGAAAATGCATGTCGTTTATATAATAAATCACATACTTATATTCGATAAATTGCGTGTATTACGCACAGTTGCAAGGAGGAAGCGGATTTGGAAAGTCAGTTGCCAAGATGACAACTGGCCTACTGTCTGAGAAGCTCGCCCTTGTCACAGGTTCTTACAAATACTTAGCATATAAGCCGACGACTCGATATACTATTAAAATCTATAAGAGGGGTAGCGAAGAAGGTAGTGAATAAGGAGGCGGTGACAAGGGTTGTGCCAGCATTGCATCGCGCACGTGCGCGAACCCAAAGAACCTCGGGGATAGCGAGCTCGAGGATAATGCTGGCACACGCGATTGACGTATTTGTTGTTTGGAGCGAGGGGTGACAGTGTGTGTGTGTGTGAGAGAGAGAGAGAGAGAGTGAGAGAGAGATTTTTCTGATGCTGAATTTTCGCAGGCGCGGGTAGCGGCATCGGGCGAAAGGTGTGCAGCCTGTTAGCGAAGGAAGGAGCCAAGGTCTTAGCCACGGATCAAAATGTCAAGGCTGTCGAGGACACGGTCGCGGAGCTCCAAGGTAACGTCACGTGGACCTAGGGATACCTATATTCAGTCCGCCTCTCCCTCTTTTATGACCACTACTCACCACGGATTTGGCCCTTTTCCACTCTTCCCCGCCCCTACGTAATTTCAAGCGGTTAAAGCAGCCGTTGGGCTAGCTATAAGACGCACCTTGCTATCATCATCATCATCATCATCATCATCATCATCATCATCATCATCATCATTCTTATCGTTGATATTGTTTTTCTTGCTCTTATTGGCTATTATTTGATAAATAAAGAAAACGAATGCGAGCATCGTTAATGCTTTACGTAGGCATTTTTTTAACGCTTAAGTGCCAATTTAAAATACTAAATATTTTGAAAAGTTCTTTTGTATCAATGTAATAAGATAAGGAAAAACTTTGTTTATAAATGAGCATTAGCAGAAGAAGAATCAATTTGAAATTAAATCGATTTACATGCTAAACAACCTTGACATTTCATAAGAATTTTCGTAAAACTGTGATTATTAGTTGAGATAACAAGTACATTTATAATAATATATTATAAGCTGTGAAAGCAATTTTTCTTCTCATTAAAAGCTATTTGTAGCAAATATCAAGTTTATAATTTGTTTTTTATGTAATATGTAGGCACCGGACATATTCCTATTAAATTGAATGTTAAGAATGTTAATGATATTGAAGACCTGTTCACCAACATAAAAAGGAATTTTTCAATACCTACGACAATTATTGTTAACAATGCCGGTATTGTACGAAGCAATAGTATCGTAGACATGAGTGAAAAGGATTTTAACGACGTAATCGATGTCAACTTAAAGGGTGCATTCTTTATCATGCAATATGCTGCGAGAGCAATTATTAATGCTGGAAATACGGATGATGCGTCAATTATCAATATAAGTTCAATAGCTTCGATAATTAAATATCCTTATAATGCAAATTACACGGCATCTAAAGCGGGTATGAACGGCTTAATAAAGACAGCGGCTGCCGAGTTCTTAAAGTATGATACGAATATTGATTTGTTTTTCCTCAAACAGACTTTTATTATTAATTTCATTATTAATCCTATGATGCAATTGATTTTAGGTATGGCATTCGCGTGAATGCCATTCTACCAGGTTTAGTAAACACTCCTTTATCCCAAACACTTCACAAGGAAACGATTCAAGAATTGACGGAAAATAAAATTTTTAAATACACGGGTAAGACAAATGACGTAGCAGAATTAGTTACATTCTTAGCTTCGCCAAAAAGCTTGTTTATCAATGGAGCACTGATCGAAATCACTGGAGGATATATATAGATTTTATATTTTATTTAAAATTGTAATAGATATAACAACAAAATAATATGACTTTGTTTATTAACAATATTTTACATTTATTTGCTCTTTCCTTTTCTCTTCAATTTTTTTGCATGTCTGTAAGCTTTGTATTGTCGCTTGCGCTTTTCATCGATAATTTCCTTGTATTTTCGTTTATTGTATTTGGCAAATTGTGCATCGGCCATAAGCTCGTCGACAATCGTTCGCTTACGCTCCTTCTTTGTTAAGCGTCCGCTGTAGTAATCCAATGGCGTATCCACAACTTTTCCAATATGGAAATATTTTGGTAAAACCTTCATATCGTTTTTCTTATAAAAGTGTTTTGGATCTAACACCGATCTCATTCTAATAATTTCAAGATCGTGTCGAACTTCGGCTGTCATTTCAGTTGCCGGAAGGTTGAACCAATCCTTGCCCTTCGTTCTGCTTCGTTGCCCTTTCCTCGTGGCCTTCAGCTTCTGATCGCTGGTGTCGTATCCAGGTACTCGTTTCAAACGTTCGAAACCAGGCTTCACGACCGATTTCTTAAGAGCCTTTTCAATAGGCGCTACCTCGTTCACTATCATCTTCACATCTTTATCGATAGATGCTTTTTTATGCCTGTTTCTTTTCCATCCCATGTCACGTTCAAATTCACCAAGGTCAATATCGTTGTAATCCCGTTTTACCTTCTTTTTCGTGACTGCGCCATCTCTATTTATGATCTTTGTTACATCAAGACCTAAATTCATCAAATTATCAATCAATCGACATTACAAAAGTGCATATATTGAACATGGTAAAATCAAATGCATAACCTAAAATGATAATACTCGACGAGTCAAATATTACTTACCAATTTCTTCAATTTCCACATCATCGTCATCGTCGTCCTCTATAAGCTTATCTTTCCCTTTGAGTTCGGTCTGGCCCTTTGTATCGATTATAAATTCCATTTTATTCGACTCTTTTACATCTGCCGCTTACATCCCAAACGCAACACAATCGCAAACAAAATTAAGTAATGCAACATGCAAGTCCTTCGCGCGCATGCGTCCCCCAACACCTAACCAAGTAATATTTGAAAAATGTTGGAAAAATTCAAAGAGTATGTGGCGCTAAAGTCCGAATCGTCTGCAGCAGGTGCCAGGCTCGCGTCCAGGAGGAACTTTTAACGCCAAGTTCTGACGTTCTCTCGTCATTGCACTTCGTAGACCGATCGCGCCTGAATTTAAACACGTGCTCCCCTCAAATCATTCCGCCGAGCCCTTAAAAGAGATTTAAAAAACTCTTTGATTCAACGTATTGGAACGTCTCACGGTTAATAATAAGCCGCGCCGGAGACTCGAGGCGAACGTGCGTATGGCTGCGGCCACTTTACACGCTCATCTTAAATCCCGTTCTTTTAACATTTCCACATGATCGTTTTAAATAGTCAATTGAATGAGCGTTATGACAGTTGTAGTTGCGGCTATTTTATTACGGAGCGGTCTACCTAACCTCGAAAAATAGTTGAATTTTGATTCGTTTGTAACCGTCGGCTATTCGCATTGTACCGAATAGGAAGGAATCTTTGTGAAGAAAGCTTTGATGGTTCGATGAGGAGTGATGAGAAATTTATTCAATGTACGAGATTGCCTTTGTTTCGTCACCGTACAATATTCGTACATTATTCGATTTAACAATATATTAGTTTTACCGTCGTCAAACTAGCGTAACTGTAAATTTATATTTGGGAAGGTAATTTGTGTCAACACGTTATTTAAATATATAAAGACGCTTTTTTTTGACAAAAATAAATTAAAAAATCCATTTAGAGTTTGAGTGAAACCATTTCTTTCTTTCTTTTTTTTTTTTTTTTTTTTTTTTTTTTTTTTTTATGGAATGAGTGAACAACTAAGAAGGAACTAATTTTTTTATTTTATAACGAAAAGCATAAATGCATTTGTATAATTTAATTTAAGGAAATTAAAAAATTTATGGTAAAATTGTTTAAAATACTTTTATTTCCCACCACCAATTAATACATTTAGTAATAGTATATTTAGTGATATATCTATCACTTCAAACATCATGAAATAAAATTATATTAATAATGATGAAATCTGTACTCCCAATGTCATTCACTTTAAACTACGACCATAATTTATTATTATACCCTACTTAAAACGTTAACTAGCCACCATCAAACTTCATTATCTAGATTAGTCAGAGAGTAAATTTAGCATATATAATGTTCAATTACATCGAAATTATCTGATAAAAAATTTTCATTTAGACGTTGATATACTATTTATTTTTAAACTGTCGGCTTTCGTGTTTTCGAAAAATTCCTTTTTCATTTTTTTATTGAAACAAAACTGCTTTTTAAGCTCTTGTTAATGTATATTTTATTTACAATATCTTTTATATTGTTCAAATGAGATTTTTTTTCTCCGAGAATTTTTAAATATTTTTGTTTTAAACATTTGAAGCTATTTACAGTTGATAAAATTTTGTCTACAACTAAGATGATTTCAAACACAGTTTTCGAAATATTTCGAAACACATTACAAACAATTAGATATATAAATATAATATTGAGTGATATAAAGAAATACGGAAGAAATTATTAATTTTTATATATAAAGTTGTAGTTTGGCGGGTCAGTGAAATAATTGTAGCTCCATATTTATTCGATAATTGCTATTAAAGTATCATATTAATAATTTACTTTATTTAATATTCGAGAAGAGTTGAGTAGCATAGTTGTAGGTAAATTTATTATTAAAAACAATCTATTTCGTTAGAATGGACCAGTGTAATCGCGCATACGATTATTTTTCGCGTATGAAGGCTCTGGCAAAAAGCAATGGCCTATATTTACAATTATTTTATCGAGCAGCACAGCTAAGATTAAATGTCAATGGCCCAGTAATTAGAGTTGCCAAACATTTTTTAAAATATGAACTCCTTCGGAATCTTTTACTTCAAAAAAAAAAAAAAAAAAAAAAAAAAAAAAAACCACGCAATACAATACCATAGAAACATCAATCGAAATATTCAACAACTAACATTGCGAGAAATGGATTATTATATTATAATATTAAGCTTCTTGGGATAATATGAAATTTGGGTATTTTATGAAATAAAGTGTATTAACTATTAAAAAATATTTATTCTCTAATAACGTTACGTTAAATGCCAGAAGTTTTAATTAATAATAAATTGGTAGTCTTTATAATACGTAAACAAATAAAATTATAAAAAACAATACATTTATTAATATTCGAGAACAATAAACGTTTTAATATTTCTTAATATAATAATAGAATATAATAATGTATAAATCAACGTTTCATTATTAACATTTAATGCGTCGGTTTTCTATTAAAATTTCTTTTATTCTCATTCATTATAATATGCTCGGTAATAAAATATGGTATTTTACAGTATTATAGATTTAAAAATTAATTACATCTAATATTATGAAAAACGTTGCAGTCACATTGTTTCCTTAAAACTAAATAGATCTCAATCAAAAGAAATGCGCTAAGATTAATAAAAAAATATTTAAATATCTTTACAATAATTAGTCGAGAACGAGCTAGTCTTAACGAATATTTAAAAAATTTTATGTTGTAATTAAATGTCTTTATAATACATATAATTTATTAAATATTTTGCTTTTGGTCAGTTGAATCTTCGTAATAGTGGTCACAGAATTTTTCAGTTTCTCTTTAAAACGTAATTCTCTCAATCGTTATTCGGGAAAATTAGCCACTCGTATTTAAATCTTCTATAGTCATATTATTCTCTTCAGTCAGTCAGTTGATTCTTAAATTACTGTACCTCAATTTTGATAGGCTCAACGATGATCCATTAATCGACGTCGTTTTCATGGGATTGTCAATAATTTTTATACTGTTTTTCGAAAATCTTGCTATTCGCTTGAATTCGTAATTTTCCAGCTTTTCTTTCGTAGGTTTTCGGTATAATTTAAGAAGCAAAGAGCTCCCTACAATCGATACCGAACTAAGTGCCATTGCCGCAGTCGCCATCCATGGTTGTAATCTTAAACCTAATGGACTAAATATACCAGCAGCAATGGGTAAGCCTAAAATATTATACAAACTTGCAAATAAAAAGTTTAACCTTATGCGCTTAACTGTCTCCCTTGACAAATCAATGCAAGCAATAACATCCAATAAATCATTTCTCATTAGGACAATGTCAGCAGCCTCGATGGCGACATCCGTTCCCGCCGCTATTGCTATGCCAACGTTTGACTGGGCTAAGGCTGGACTATCGTTAACCCCATCGCCGACCATAGCTACCTTCTTCCCTTGGCTTTGCAATTGCTGAATCTTCTCCACTTTATGCGACGGCAGTACTTCGGCAAACACTTGGTCAATACCAATTTCTTTGGCTATTGTATTGGCCGTTAATTTGTTATCGCCCGTTAAGAGTATCACCTCGAAGCCCATTTTTTTTAAGGAATATACAGCGAGGTGAGCTTCTGGTTTTATCGAATCAGCGACGCTTATGATACCGGACAATTCGCCGTCGATGACAGCTAGGACTACCGTTCTTCCAATATTCTCCTCCTTTAACATTATGCTTTCTATTTCTTGGGGTATGGCAATGGCATTTCTTCTCATCCATTCCCGATTTCCTATACAAACTTCAAACGCTTCACCAGCGTCGGTATTCCTAATATTTATATTCGCTTGTTCAGAATTAATGGTTTGTTGATTGGATGACATTTGCGTTATATCAATCAGTACTTCGTTCAGTTCCAATGCCTCAGATGCATTGTTTTGCAAATTATTGACAAAGCTAGTGATTTTTGTGGATTTTGCGATGCTCGATAAGGTATCAGCAACATGAGAGATCTTACATTTCATACCACAACCTGGCACCGATTGATAATTACTACATCGTCCACTTAATTCCGTTTCAATTACTTCTCTCACGTAGTTCACTATTGCAGATGCAATTGGATGCTCGCTATTAAGTTCTGCTATGCCAATAATAACTAAAATTTTACCTATATTAAATGCATTATTACTGGTAAGTAAGCTTATGTTTGTTACTGTTGGAAAACCTTTAGTTACAGTTCCTGTCTTATCAAAAACAACACAATTAATTTTATGCGCATTTTCCAGGGAGTCTGAGCTTTTGATTAAAATGCCGTTGATAGCACCAACTCCAGTACCTACCATTACAGCAATTGGCGTAGCAAGGCCTAATGCACACGGGCAAGCAATCGCTAAAACAGATAATGCACTGCGAAAAGCATTTTGAAAAATGACTTCACCTCTGTTCCTGCCCGAGTGGCGCAGGTGATCGCTGTCCATCAGCAATATATAATCAATATTAATATAGCCTACGATGAGCCATGCCAGCAAGGTTAAGGCAGACACAATTATTACAAAAGGTACAAAAAATCCAGCTATCTTATCGGCTATATGTTGAATCGGCGCTTTACTCATTTGTGCTTCTTCCACTAAATGGACAATCTGGGCTAATGTCGTTTTTTCTCCCGTGTGAGTGGCTTTAATGTACAAAGGTCCACTTAAATTTATCGAACCGCCAATAACAATGGAACCCTCTTTCTTTAACACTGGCATACTTTCTCCGGTAATTAGACTTTCGTCACAAGTTGAGTTACCTATAATTACTTTGCCGTCGACAGGAATTTTGTTCCCTTGATTGACCTTTAATATATCTCCTGGTTGTACTAGATCAATTTTAACCAGGCGCTCGGTTAAAATTTCATTGTCTTTACCTAAAGTAACTATTACGGCATCCGCTGCTTGAAGGGACAGTAGCTTTGAAAGTGCTTCTGAAGTTTTTCCCTTAGCGATATGTTCCAACCATCTTCCTAGGCTAACAAAAACCAGAAGCATCGGTGGCGTGTCAAAAAATGTTTTTGGACTACTAGTCTCTTCGGTTATCATTGCTATTGCAAGAACGAGTACGGAATATATGTAAGAAATTGTTGCTGTCATTGATATGAGAACATCCATATTTGTTGTGCCGTGTTTAATTGCCTTGTACGCTTGAATGTGAAAGTGCCATCCTCCAAAAATTTGCACTGGCGTCGATAATATAAATGAAATTAAATTTTCTAGCGACAAGCCAGGAAGTATACAGCACATTTCATCTTCGTTATTCATTAATGACATAGACACCATGAAATACGTCATTGATATCATACTTGGAGCTCCAAATGCAAGCGAGACTAAAAAAGATGTTTTCCATTTTTGTATTTCCAGTCTATGATCCAAATATCGTCTATTCTCCGTCTCATTTCTTTTTATAGATACTCCGAAACCTAATTGTTGTATGCAATCTATAATAGCATTGAGATGAGTCTTACTAGGGTCGAAATTAATTTTTCCTCTCTGAGTTACGAGAGATACCATCGCAGATTGAACACCTGGTAACTGCTTAACAGTCTTCTCTATTTTACTAACACAAGAGGAACAAGACATTCCTGTTATGAGTAATTCGCTTTCTTTAATTTGGGAACCTTTCTCGTTTATAAGTATGGCAGGGAATCCTAAATCCGTTATGCTCGCTGCTAAGTCAGCCGGTGTAACTACATTACTATCGTAATCAATTTCTGTCCTTCCACTTATAAAATGTACCAAAATATTTTTAACACCCACTAATTTTTTGCAATGCTTTTCTATCGCCGTAACGCACGAAATACACGTTAAACCATCAATGTGAATAAAACATTTTTGTACAATATTTTTAGGTTCCGAAGTTTTAACAAAGTCATTGGTAGGCGAGCTATCTTTCAAGTTATTTGACAATTTAATTACATCGTTGTTTATGTTTTTGACATTAGCTCCAAATCCCATATCTTCAATAATGTCCGCTATTTGCTGAGGGGTTATTAATTTGTCATTGTAAGAAAATGTGCCTTCGTGTGTTTCTAAGCTGACACAAATATTTTCAATTCCAGTTTTATTAGATAACATTTCAGTAATACTATTTACGCAAGACATGCAAGTCATTCCAGATATACTAATGATGCAGGTGTCAAGTTTACAAAAATTATCCGCTTCTAGTTTTTCTCCTTTAAATTTTTGCCCTTTATGAAGCTCTTGCATCGAATTCTCTTCGTCATCACAGTTGAGCCTAGTTTTGTTAAATAAATATTTCCACTCGTTTTTCTTAGGATCCATGTTCAATTATTTTTTATAAATGTTTGCCAGTTATCTCTATAATGAAGAAATTAACTTATTTTTAAATTAATCAAAAAGGTTTGATATCACATTTTAGCGTATTTTTAAAAGAATATATAGTCATCGATACCTTTGTAAACAGATTTGTTTGTACCAGAATAAGAGCTCCGCTGATTAATTGAAGCATCTGCGGGTATAATCTACTGTGAAGTAACAAAGGAAACGTGCCTACGTAATTTTTTTTTTGTAAATTTGATACATTCGCGCAGCACTCCGTAAACGCTACTCGGAAATGGATGATTGTACTTCCCGTCTAAAAAAAAATAATAATGTCGAATGATATTTATAAATGCGCAG